ACGTGGTTCCATAGTGTAGCGGTTAGCACGTCTGCTTTACATGCAGAAGGTCCTGGGTTTGCATGGTCTTATAGCCATGCTACCCTGAACAAGCCCGATGTCTGATCTAAGAAGCTAAGCAGGGTTGGGCCTGGTGAGTACTTGGATGGGAGACCACCTAGGAAGACCAAGTGCTGTAGGCATAAATAATAAAATTATAAAAAAATAATTAAAAAAATAAATAATAAATAAAATAAAAAATAAAGCCGGGGGGAAGTTTTTAGAAAAGCAAGTGATAAAAAGAACAAAAAATCAGGGCAAAGAACCCCCTAAGGGCCTGTCTGGCCACCTGCTTCTACGTGAGGTTGGAAAATAAACAGGGAGACGACAGTCTCAAAGAGCTGTATTAGTTCACCAGACTCTCAGGTGAATCTTAGGTTCCCCAGCCAGGGACAAGCTGGACCAGCAAGGATAGGTATGCTGGGTGGGGACTGGGCCAGGACCAGCTGGGTGTCTCGTCACCGTCACCGGCATAATCATGGCACCCACACTTAGCACCTCAGGGGATTCGAAGACAACAGCCAGGAGATCGCTGAGATGATTCATTCCCTTGACGCAACTATAACGTACAAGTCACCTGTTCTCTCACCAAAGTAAAAACAGCACAGAGGGGTGGAGACTCTAGAGATTTTACAGCTACAAAAATAGTCTCTCCTGAGAGGTTGAGAACCTTTGTTCCCCAAATTTGTCTGCATCTACCTCCTAGAGCTTTTCCCTGTGGATGCATTTGGCTCTGAGAAGTAAAAAATCTGGAATTGCAAAGTAGATATTGTTACTGATCAAAACTTATCACAAACCAAAATTGCCCAAGGCTAAAACTAAACCTGAAATCATTCGATTTGTAACAGATAAGAAAAAATGGAGAGAGGGAGGGGGAAGAAAAATAGCAGGATGGGCGGCGGAGAGAAAGAGAATCCATCTTGTCAGTTACTGACAGACTGTATAATCTGACTCTGAAAGAAATAGATAAAAATTGACACTGGAAAAAAAAAACCAGACAAAATAAAGCTATTTCTGGCTAAGACTATAGGAGGTAAAATCAAATTTTGACAAAAATTGCAGTCAACACATTTCGAGGTAGGGAAGATGAATTTGGCTGGAAATAATAAAATTCACTAAGGTAAAAGTTTGGCGGGACATTTTTATAAGGAAAAAAGACAATATTTACACAGGAAAAGGGGATTCTGATGAGGATAATTTTAGTAAAATGAAAATAGAAAAAAAAAACATAAAAAGTTTAACTATGCTGTATCAAAAATTGATCAAGGGATTAAATGAACCTAATGAAGTTGCAGCCTTTCTCAACCACAAATGCACTTATGTTGAGATGATTCGCAGTTGGATTAATTCTTGTGAATATCCTTGAATGTGTTATACACCTGTTGGCCTCCACTGCTCATTATCCCAGGTATGTTAGTTTCCTGTGGCTGCTGTAACAAAGTACCACACAATGGATGGCTTAACCCAACAGAAATTTATTTTCTCACGTTTCTGGAGGTTAGAAATCTGAAATTAAGGTGTCACAGGGCCATCCTCCCTCTGAGGGCATGAATCCAGGAAAGAATCCTTCCTTGCCTTTCCTGGTGGTTGCCAGCCATCCTTGATTTATAGCTGCGTCACTGTAGTCTCTGCCTCTGTCACCACATGGTCTTCTCTGTTGTGTGTCTGGGTCCCAATTTCCTCTTTATAAGGATACCAGGTATATTGGATTTAGAGCCCACCCTACTCCAGTGTTATCCCATTTTAACGTGTTACAGCTGCAAAGACCCACTTTCCTAATGAGATCACATTCACAGATTCCGGGTAGACATGAATTGGGTGGTGGTGGTGTGGAGGGCGGGGACTTATTCGACCCGGTCCCCCAGGATAAGCTCAGATTTTGGTCCTGTCTCACCCACCTTAAACACACCTCCCCTCACCCTCTGCAGCATGAAGGAGATAGCATTTCAAATTCTACAGATAGGAAGGTCCATTTCCCAAACTGAAAACGAATCCTCTTCACTGGGCAGAAATCCCATTTGCCCTGACCAGCTAAGGGGGAGAGGGTTCCTGATTGAGTGGCTCACTCCCAGTTCTGCAGGCTGGTCTCCCTTTATTCATACTTGCCCCCCTCAGCAAACCACAGAATGCACTTACAGGCCCTCCAGATACACTATAGGAGGCATTACTCAGACATACTTCACACACACCAACCATCCAGTGTCAGAGAAACAAAAGAATACATATGTAAACCACACGATCAACCTATGAAACTACAATGCTGAATCCCAAAGCTTTAAAAGCCCTTCAAGATATATTTTTTAAAGTGCATTTGAACCAAGTATCTGCAGAATTCTTTTAGTCCGTGCAAGAAACCCTGGGGTTTCTGGGAGATGTCCACCATATTGGTCAGCAAAGTGGGCAGCCAGGCTTTGAGCAGTGACGTGGTATTTGCGTATTTGAGAAATCCGAGTAAAGGGTTATTTTTCTAAATAAAGCCCACTTTATTTTTCTAAATAAAGATATTATTTTCAATAATATCTCCCATCTTCGATAACTGACAATGCTGTCCCTTTTATCACTAAATTGCTGTTTGAATTCGGATGTTTCCCAGCCACCTGTCCTTTTCCAATGGATTGTTCTAGTCTTTGACCAGCACCCATTGTTTTTATTACTGTACATGTATAACGTTTCATATTCAGTGGGTTCTTCTCCTTGATATGTTCACCTATTATTATTCCAAATAATCGGACATCTTCCGTGGCATTTCGACTGTCTTAGTCTGACATAGTTTATTCCCTAAGCCTTCTCTGGATCAAGACTCTCAAAACTCAAAAGTCTGATTTCTGCAAAAGCTTCCTTTCCAGGACCACCACATCTAGCTGTGCGGGTTGTATACTACACAACCACACGGTTGCCAGTCACATCACAGCCCTGTACATCAGAGGTTCATATTTACAGTATCTTATTGGTTTTCTAAAATGCACATTGATTCACATTTCTAACATCTCTGAAATTGGAGTGCATCTCACATGAAAGGCATGTCATAGCTTAATTAAGTGTGAGAAACCGTGATGTTATACCATTTCTGGCAAGACCTCAAAGCTAGTAAGAGGCAGAGCTGAGATTCAAACCCTGCAAGACAACCCACAGTTATAATTGATGCAGGACCTGTGTCACATACTGGGAGAAAATCGTGGGTCCTGTCATTTGGAGGAAGAAATTTTTGACCATAGTGTGACAGCATGTGTGCAGGTGCCTGTGAGCAAGAGCATGTGGGTGGGGTGGGCTAGGGGGAAACCGGAGACTGTGGCCCTGGGGAGATGCCAGGACCCACCACCGCTTTCTCTTGCCCAGCTCTTCCTTCTGGAGGAAATGCGAGAGCGCAAGTTCGATGGCTTTGCCCGTACCATCCAGAAGGCCTGGCGGCGCCACGTGGCAGTACGGAAGTATGAGGAGATGCGGGAAGAAGGTGAGAGGCAGTAGGTGGGAGGCTCAGGGTGGAGACAAATGGACCTGGAAGAGCCAGGCCACGACCTCTGCCTCCCACCCTGTGGCC